GTGCCCCGCCTTCTCAGCATGAGCAAACAATTCTCGTTGTTTTACGGTCCGTTGAGGGGTACTACCCAAGCGACGGATCCCCTAACCGGTTTGTTTTGGCACTCGTCAAGGTTCTGTTTGGGCGGGACGCCAGACGCTTGTGACACGCCCGCACGCCTTAATCGTTCAATAAAGCCAAAATCTTGCTGGCCATGGTGCTTGTCAAGCGACTCAACACGGGGAGTCTTATGGGTCATCCAATTTGGTCTGCCGCAGCTCAAAGTCGACAAAAGGCTTTTTCTCGAGAGATCGGATCGCAGTCGCTCTCAAGACATCAGCACCAGAAGATAAACCCCAAACGTGCTTGTTTGCGCAGTCCGCTTGTGTATGTGTACTTGGGATCCCTGACTGCATAACAGAGTGGCAGTGACTGGCTACTAAAAGCTGCGGGTAAACCCAACCGAAGGCCGATATTTGTGCCTGCGAATGGTATTACATAACGCCTTCCGATCCGCTGCCTCGAGTCCTGGGTTCATGTACTCGGTACTCGTACCTCATACCTCATCCCCATACTGCCAGTAAACCCCTTCCCAAACGAAAACCCCCATCTCGCGCTGTGGGAAAAAGGAGCGCGCCACTTCCGCACCAACTGCAACCTACCAAACCATCATCTAGTGTGGAAGTGGATCGATGACCTGAGCCGGCGGCGCCCGAAGTATCTGATTTGTTCTCAATGACTCGCGAACCAGCACTCCCGGTTCGACCGTGGCACCTTCATCGATCTTGACGCCTGGATAGATGATGGCTTTGGCGCCGATAATGACCCCGGCTGCAATGAGCACATCGTTTGCGATCCAGAGACCCTTGGTGCCCTTGCGATTGACGAGATCCTTGTTGTGGTCGCTGGTCAAGATGGTGACGCCGGGCCCGATGATGGTGCGAGGCCCGATCTCAATCGCACCAGCATCGTCAAAGTTACAACCCTTGCCAACGTAGACATCGTCGTGGATTCGCAGGTTATAGCCATAGGTGCAAGTGAATGGCGTCTCGATCTTAACCCCTATCCCAAGATAGCCTTTGCCGTGAAACTGTGAAGGAAATCGATGCGTCGTATCCTGGCTAGGATCGAGCACCTTCATCAACAGATTGCGGACCTCCTGCTCCCCTATCCCGCTATCTAGTTGGCACGCCGCGTTATAGCGCTGCAGGGCCCGCTCACAACGTTGACGCTCATAGACCAATGTCGGGTCCATGTGGATATAGTTGACCGACCTCAACATCTTGGATTTCTCCACGTCTTCTTGACCGGATACCTTGAAGCTGGTGCTGGAGGATGTCATTCGAGTATGACTCGGAACGCTAGCATGAGCTGGTGGAGGGCCCGGTGGAGGAGGGCCATATGTATGCCCATAGGACGCTGGCTGTTGTGGCTGGTGCCACTGTAACTGCTGTTGAGGCGGGCCCGCTGGCGGTTGATGAGCGACGCTAGGACCTACAGGCTGGGGCGCTGCATGTTGAGGAGGAAAGTGCTGTTGATGGTGTGGTCCCAGCGGAGCTTGGTTCGAAGGCGCGGGCGGCGGCGGTGGCGGCGGTGCGGGAGGGGCATGTGATGGAGGGTATCCGGCACTTTGAGGTGGCACGCGCGACATTTCTCGCGGGTTTGCATTTGGATGTAATTCTGATCGACTCAAGTCCGACAGTGGAGGGAGATGCTCTGAGGTATAAGAACTTTGACCTTGCGCGGGCGGCCAGGGGTTATGCTGGTTGGGACGAAGTGGTCGGGTCGCTGGCTCATTGCGTTGTGGACTCAGCTCATACGTCGCGGGGTGTTGTCCTTCACTACCACCGACCGTACTTGGTCGCGACTGAACACTGTCCTGACGTTTGAGAGGATTGCTCGTGCCGGGAGTTTCCATGTGAGGTCCCTGATAAGGCGATGCTTCAGACACGTCACCAGGACCATCCCTGGACTGTAATGGAATCGGGCCTCTATTGAGTGTGGGCTTGGGCGGATTCGCCCGCCTGTTCAGGTTGTAGCCTTTACAGCTGAAACCACCTCGAAGACAGTTGTTACCTGGAAAAAGGACAAAGTGTTAGCGGGCGGAGAGAAAAATGAAATTTCACGTTCAAGAAATGACTAGGCTCACAATATGGCTGGCCTTCATCACATTTCTTCTTCCGTTGTCGGCACGTCATGCATCCGGTCTTTGTTCTGTTGGAGAAATTACGTTTCCTTTTTGGCGCGACCGTTGATGCGCCCGTTGCTGACTCGGGATGACCATACTGGTCGTGATTAAGCTGGCCGTTGGGTCGAGGTTGATAGTCCGAGCCCCAATGTGAGGGCTGTGCCTCCGTTCCATTGGCTTCTTGCTGTAACGTTTCCCCGTGATGCGACTCGGAGGTGCTGGGCCGACGGCCATTGATGGAGCTGGCAGGTTGTGCACGCTTCTCTGCATGCCACGTATGACCATTCTGGTTTGCATCATTCTGAAAGTACGCAGATGTGGTATTGTGATCAGCACTTCCTAGGACACGCAATGCCCGGTTGGCCATGTGTTGTGGTTCAGGGCCCTCCCGGGGGCTATACTCATACCGCCGCCGTTCAAGATAAGGCTCGTCGTCACCAGACCCGGACCGCTTTCGCCTATGGCCCGCGCGTTCCTGGCTATGCGGGGGTGGATACGTGCCGCTCGAACTTCTGGGTACAGGCTCGTCCCTGAGAAGGTGGTCTGGTGGAGATGAGTGTCGACTATCTAGCGAGGCATCGCTTTCTGGGTTACGGTCAATATGGACAGATGCTTAAAGGGCATGATGACAGACCGTTGCTCGAGGCGCGATTGACTGCCACAAACCCCCGTGAACTGGCATCTGGGCTTGACGCCACGTCATTCTCGGAAGCATTCTGGCTCGCAGGAGGAGCCATCGTCACGAGTCAAACACTGGGCTTGATGTCTTCAGAAAGGCGAGTCGACCGGTCCCAGCGTTACCGTGGTCTATAAGTTTTCCTGGAAGGACTTTAGTCTCCTTTTGCGTGCCGACTCCTGAACACAGTCGAGACAAGAGCCTCAAAAAGGGATGTATGAATCCAGGGAACGTGGGCGCTTGCCCTGGGAGGACCCCCTTTCTGGTATGATAAGGAGAATGACTTTTCGAAAGCGCGGATTCGCCAGCAGGAATTTTGACACTCCTGAAATGAGCGAGATAGCAGCGAGACGCGCGGCGAGAAGAGACCTGAACGGAGTGTGGGCGCTTATGATCTGTCACAACCTGAGGGAAGGTAAGCGCCCAGGACGCTCACAAACCGGACACCAGGAGAATCACGCGCTTAATCGTAGTTCTGAATATTGCAAAGGCGAGAATTGTGAAAAGAGAAGCGACATGAGAGATCCTCGGGTCGAAAAGGAGGAAGGTCGAGTGAGAACAGCCAGCTCTGAGGAAGCTCCCTGTATAGAATAATGTTGGTATTGAAATGTTTGCTTGGGAGTTTGTCGATTTGCAGGTAAGCGGCAGCCGCGAGAAGCGCACGTGGAGCCGGGAACAGTGACAAAACACGATGATTTGGCTGCGGGATAGCTTTGGCTGTGCGTAGTAAGCGGAGGGAGCCGCCCTTCGTCGTAGTAGCAAGATTTGGAGGTCCTGCGGCAGAGCAGAAGAGGACGGAGGCAGTCAATCGTGCAAAAAGCACTGAAAAGTGTCCCCAAAGCCCCAACTTAAAGCTGTCTGCAAGGAGGAGAAGAAGGGGAAGAGGGCGAAGAGGCCTAAGCACATCCTTCCCACTTTTTGCAACTGATGCTTGACAGCTGCGTGAGGAACGAGAGACACAGGACGCAGGAGGACGAAGGTGGGCGAGGCAGCAGCGTGTTTGGTCGGGGAGACTTCCACAACGCTAGACAAGGGGCTTCGAAATCCACCGGGCGCTTGGAAAAGGCGCTTGCCGGCTGCCACCCAGCTCACCTAGCTACCGCACCGTTCTTGCAGCTGCCCTTCTGCACGCTGACTGGCCACCCAGAGAATTGCTGTCGCCTTTAGCGTTTCCAAGGGGCCGCGGGCCACCGGAAAAGCAGGCGGCAGTTGTCTGAGAAAGGATCTTCGTGCGGTGTGTTGAGACAGGGTGAGCACTGAGCAGAGTTCATTTTTATTCCCCGTCAGCAAACAATCGTGTCCAATCTTCATCATGAATCACCACCCCCAAATGACCGCCCTCTGAAGCAAAGCACTCTGGTGAGCTTTATTTCCCCTTCCCCTCCACCCTCCTTCAAGTGAGTGTGGACACGAGTCACCTGGCTGACCAAGTATGCAGCCGTGTGCTTCGAGTGCATTATTGGCCGTCCTCTCCGGTGCCCTTTTCCTCACCCTCTGTCTCCGTCCCCCGCTCTTTCTCGTATCGACCCCAGCGCAGTCCTCGTGATTGACAGTCCTTTGTGCCGTTTCAAGAACGGGGCTAGCACGACATTTTGCCTCCCTGGTCCGAAGGCTGCCCGCTCGTCACAGCTGCATGGTTCCAAATGCGAAGCAAGGGCTGACCTTGAATCATCAAGGGCCAAAACGGGCCTGGAGCTTTGAACTTGGATGCATGTGATGGAGGTCCGTCGAGGGCAACGATTGGACGCTTGATCTCAAATCTGAGCTCGAGTGACGCCCGCCAGCAAAGCCGCTCGTCAAAAATGCCGCCTCAACCAACATCCTCCGGGGCCCCCCCTACATGTACACAGTCACCTTGGATCCCGCCTGCATTGTTCTCCTATTGGCCACGGCAGTGTGACGACGGATCGTGCATGCGTCTTGACCTCCTTGCATTTGCGTTTCTGGCGGGATTGTTTCCAAAGTCACTCCGCGCTTGCGTTTGGCCTAGCCGACTCAGCCGCTCGTCACTTGGGCCGCCAGTTGCGACGGAGTGGAGAAAAATACTGCCTCTGACACAAAAGACAAGTGGGTAGGTAAGACAGCTGGCTGCAGACGGCCAATTACAGATGCGAACATGCTCATATTCTGTACGTAATGATTTCTACCGTCCAAGACGCCTACTTGACCCAACCTCTCCAGGCATCGCCAAATCCAAGCGCGACGGTGCTAGGATCTGCATCCATGCCGAAGCCACAAAAATCTCCACCAAGTTCTGCCAGGATTGTTAACGTGGGCCGGCCGTGAGCACATTGGAAAGGTAAGGTGCACTGAGATAGTCTCTGCACAAGTTCGTGGCATTGCCTCTTGTCCAAATGATCGTTGAACATGACCGCAGTGCGGCAGGATCGAGACTTGAGTATCTCGATCATGCCTTTCGGGCAGTCCGCAAGGTTGGACCACCAACAAGGCTCGTCGGATTGTGGAGGACGGGGCAGCGGACTACAACGCCGCGCACGGCCTAACCAGATCTCGCTTCTCATGATGTCAGCCAAAAGCTTCGGGTCGGCGCGACAACGCTCAATAATGAGGGTCGGCAGAACAGTCACCTCCACTGTCCAGGAACGATGGCTGGGCGGATGTCGTGCCGTATGAGACCTCGTGCTTTCAGCAATGTGATATATCACACTCCATCGCCGAAAATATCCCTTGTGATCTTCCAAAAGTCGCGCTTCCGTTTCGTCAACCTCGAAGACCAATGGCTTAGCAAGACTTGTGGAGATGCGCTTGGACAAGTCTTCACAAAGCTTTTCAAATTTAATTCTTTCGTCAGCCGCATGCTGGTCAATAAGAACGAGGAGTCTCCGCTGTTTCCTCCCGGCAAAATATGGGTCGCCGGTATCTCGAACAGCGAGAATGGCAAGGATAAACTTTCGATCAACCTGCTGAACAATACTGGCGCTTGACAAAGAACCTTTCGTGACGATCCGTGAGTCTAGAACAGTATTGTCCTGTCCTCTGGTAACGATCACTTTTCTAGACAACCCCGGACCCTGTTCGGATATGATGCAGGCAATCGGAGCGTCAGATTGGTGACGATAGCCTGCCGGCAGATAGTGCCGTAAATTGACGAGAGGCTTCGCGCTGTCATTGGTACGAGGGAGTTCTGGGCCTTGTATTCGCGTTAAACCCCCACGGTTTCGATATGAAAGTGCTGTGTCTCCATCTGCCGGAGGTATTGCAGCACCTGTCCGAGGGTGGACATAAGTGACCTGACCACCGCGCCAGCTGATCCAAGGAACACCATCGAAAGTTTCGTCAAAACCTTTGAAATCACTTTGGGTCTCGCGGGTTGCGTCCTCGGGGTGCGACTCTTTGCGACTAGGGTCGATAGATAAGCGACCTTCTTTGGTGACCTCCAGAGATGAACAAGAGTGATCATATAAATTTCTCAAGCCCAAGCCATAGCGGAAATCCTCTGGTGAGGGACGAGCACTCTTGACGCGACGCCAGTGACTTAGATACCTAGCCTCAGTTGCAAGTTTCGAGGGTTCTCCAACCAGTTGTTGGCAAGGGCCAATTCCACGGTTATGTCGACGACGCACCCTTTTCGATGCATTGCGTTCGGCACAGGCTGAAAATCCATGCATGTTTAGAAAATTAGAGATTAACGATTCAATCGCTCTTGTCAAATGATCAAGGACGGGGAGCGTATTCGACATAGGCTGGCCCAAAGCGAGGTTGGTCGACAATTCCCGAGTTCTCGGCTCAATTTGAATGTAGAACATAGGCCATTTATCCACGGGCTTTGGCAGCTTGTTGGTTTCACCAGATCTGTCAACGGAATCTTGGTCTTCGATTGCCATGCCCTTCGCATTGTGGTGAAAGTCCTGGGAGCCGAAGGTCGACTCCTGATAAAGCCGATCAATACCATCAAATACACATTTGATTCCGCCCTCTCTTTGAATTGGGGACTTTCCAATGGAAATGTACTGAGCTGACTTATTTGGCGATCGTTCGACGGAGATGGCAGCACGAATACGGAAATGCTTCGTGCGAGCGGATGCTGAGCGCCATTTTGTGATGTCGACAGAATTCACCAGCCTGGCCTGAAATAGTATTGATACTGTCGACTCTAGTGAGAATTGCCCTTCCCTCAAGTCCGGTGAACGGAAATGAACACTATGTTGTCTTGTGCCTTTGGCGGAGAATCGCACTTCGATCGCACGAGACTGTGCAAGCAGGTATCCAGCGAGCATTTCCTTCACCCGGTTGAATGCTTTTTCTGTCTCGGTCGAGGAAGCATAGAGCTGTGACAGGTGTTTGGCGCGGGCAGGCATATCGCTGAAAAGATCGTGGACAGTAATGGCCGTGCCTTTCCGCATCATACCAACATCTTGTTTGTCGAGCCGTAACTGGCGACATACAGCATTCCCACGATACAAGATCAACCGATTCGCAAAGACTTCCGATCGATGCTCGGAGGCTATCGATAACAGAGACAGGTGCGACAGGTTTGACAAGAAGCGGCCATAACAACCGTATGTCGGAGGCGAATAATCCAGTTTTGAAGAACCTAAAGCACCACAGTCAGATTCTTGATCGGGATGGATATTGAGCTATCACATACAGTGAAGTCTGGCCAACTGGCCTTGCTCTGAAAATTCCACCTCTTGAATCCCGATCCCGTTATCATATATCCAAATGTAGCCTTTCGAGAATTCCACTTCAATCACCACCGACGAGGCATCGGCGTCCAAAGCATTTCTGAACAGCCCCTCGATGACATGCTCGGAGGATGTGATATCGGAAGATGATGAGACCTTTGTAGAAATATCAGCAGGGAGAAGATTGATTCGTGGGCAACCTTCAGCCATTACTGGTAGCTGGTGGTGGAAAGATCGGAGTGCCTGGTGGTGCGACACATGAAAAGCTGGACTTCATGGAGGTTGCCACTGCGCGAGGTACAAGCGGAAAAAATGGGTCACTGGGAGCAACATCTCCTCCAGAGCGCCTGCACTTCTAGCTGAGGAGCGTCACAAACAGTGCAGACTCCATCGGTTGAGAAAGGTCAATGGTGGTGGTCGTCATCACATTGCCGGTCCACGATGTGAGACTGCGCAGGCTTCGGAATGTTTGCAATGTTTGCACTGTATGCCGAATTTGCAGAATTCAGCAATTAGTGCACCAAAATGGATCTAACCACCACAAGCCAGTAGCATTCACCCCATATTCCTTTTACGTGTTCTCAACTACAGGGCCACAGAGTATAGTAGCTGAGTCTACCAGGGTTTTAGGGCTATGTGTAACCCTAAAACCAGGATATCAACGAGAATATTCACCCTTACCAAAGGAAGAAAAGTGGCCCAGAGCAAAAATCCCAGCCCAAGATTCTAGAACACAAGGCTCCCACAATAACATGACGGTCTCGAAGTGGCTCACTCTGACTCGTCAATGCCTGCTTCGTCGAATCTCTGTGCAAGACTTCGGCAACTTGCTGCGGAACCATGACGGTGAAATCGATGGCAAGCGATTATTTGGGGCCCTGGTTGAATGTCGGGAATCTTTCTGCCAGCCAGGAGATCCTCTCATCTCACTTTATATCGACTACATTGCAACCGCTGGAGTTATCGTCATATCCGACGCACTGGTTATCCTCACAAAACGTTGGAATGGAACAAGGTCCCCAGCCACACAAGGTGCACTTGCATGCTACAATGACACCCTGCAAGATTTGACCATGGTGATTGTCTCCCCAAAGTTCAAGACCGGGGCAGCTGAAGCACGCCTAGCTCTACAGATCTCGTCAAGATGGCTTTCTACTTTGGCACGACAAGCATCACGAGGAGATTCTGAGCCACCAGGAATGGAGCTTAGCAGCACCATCGAATTGCTCGCCTTCCTCATGGCATCTATGACCGCAACTGACGCTGGACTCGAATCTTTATCCATTGCCAAGAGCCTGGAGCAAAAGGAGAAATACGTGGCTGTCGACAACTTACGCACTCTAGTGAAACAGGCCTTTGAGCTCTGCTTGCCATTATATTCTACGCTCTCTTCTCAGCTCATGGAGCGGATAAACACAGTCTTGAAACATATTAACCTCCTGGATGATGGCTCGGCGCAGCCTGGCAATGCCCCTGCCCCTGCTTCCGAGATTCAAGCGCTTCAATTTCAAGTCTCTATCGCAGATAGCCAGTTGGTGGCTTCCAAAGCTGGCACAATACTTTACCTAGAAAGTCTTCTCTTTGCAGGCTCAACTATCGACGATGGAGGGACAGTGCATTGGCTTTCAGCGCGCCATCAGAATGATTACCAGTCAATGTTCATCGACGTCTTTACGTCCTCCTTTTCCATTCTCAAAACCCAGACCATTACTCCTGGCAGAACTTTATGCATGCAGCAGTGTCAGATTTTCATTCAGAACAAACTTCCAGCACTTCTGTCAATGATATCGGCCTCTTCATTCAACAGTTTCAATACCGAACGAGCCATGACCGACTCATGGCATCAGGTGGTGTCTTTACTTTCGTCACAAGACCTTCTTTTGACGGGCGCTAGGCTGCTGCACGTCTGTACTTTGCATCACTTGCTCCCGGCACAAATCGCAGTACAGCTCGTTGGAAACGAGGATACTTTGAAAGGACTGAGCAAGGGCTTGTATGCTAAGGATGACCTCGTGGCACAAGTCCACGCAAATCCTACGAGAGGACCCAAACTTGTTGAGGAATTGACCCGCAGCGATGGAAGTGCAGGCTTCATTAGTCAAGCGGTTGTTGAGGTCTGTAAGCCGTCTTATTGAGGAGAAGCTCCCCTAACAACTCCTAGATCGTGCATAATTACTGTCAAAACAAGGAAACACAATGTCTCAAAGATCTCGCCAATGCTATACTTCGGAGACCTACTACGATCAATTGCATTGCTCTATTCGTTCGTCCTGACTATTTTCTCGGACCACTTTGTGGGCTCTTGGACGAGTGGCGATGGGATGAAATACATGGTAAGTAACAAACCCCCGAGATAGTTGCCCGCTAACTGAAGAAAGGAGAGGCACAACCGGTGTACGATGATTTTGGGGCCATCTTTCTGCTGATTTTGGTAAGCAGAGAGCGACTAGGGTTGTCAAACTCAAGCTTGGGTATACGAAAGAAGGATGGATTCCTAGCTCGATATCTAGAGCATGAGCATAACGAAGAGAGCCTAGAGAACCTCTCTGAAGAAAGGAAACTGCATTTGGGAAACTGGATCAACGCTCTTTACTTGGCTGAAGGCCTCAGCGATGAACTGTTCACAAACTGCAGTCCCCACGACTTCTACCTCTTGATTCCCACTCTCCTCCGACAATCGATGACGGCTCACCAGCAGGGAAAGCTAACTCATGACTCTTTACAAGCCGGCTTGGATTGTAAGTACCTACCAGTGTCAGGGCGACCCAGCTCACAAAATCCAGATCTCCTTGAGCCTTTCTTGCTCCCTTCCCTGATATCGGCGATGGATTGGGTCGCAGAGGTTTTCCAGCATGAGCGCATGGTTGCTGGAAAGGTGTTGGAAGCTCTAATAAAACCACCAGGGTCGTTGGAGTCTCGGGATATCCACAACACTATATTGACATTGTGTGCGCCGAGGCTGAAGTTGCGCCTGAAGACTATTGGAGCACAAGACAGCGACGTCGACTCCATTCTCAAGACCCTGGACCAGTGTCCGGACTTTTCGTTCGTCTCGGAGCGAGAACGAGAGACACCGAATCCAGGGACCCTCAACATTATACAACATTGCCTGGCAAATCTAATTACTTCCACAACTGCTCTGGACATTGGGGAGGCGCCTCCTTTTGAGGACATTTCTGCCCTCGTGAGCCGAGCCGTGGAAGTTCATGGACCCCAGACGACCCTGCGGGCAATCGTTGGGGTGCTTCTACAACTGAGCGACAGTCACGTATTCCTTTATGCTCTTGATGCACTCACAACCGCAGTTTGTATGGCTGGAAACGGGCTTCACGACGCCTTGCGCTTACAATACCACGACCTGGGGAGTCTCTTGAAGAGCGGGGAAACTCTCGCTGCTGAAGGGGTGGTCCGTCTATATCGGCAAGTTGAAACATACACGAATCTTCTTGCTGTGCCGGACATGGGCTTAGACTCGTTCAACTTTTCCCAGCAACTTACAAATATGGATACGGCCGACCCCAATCTCGACGCTGCTACTGCGGTGTCGGGCGGAATGGACCTGCAGACAGATCAGGGCCAAGCTGACGGAATTGATCAGGTGCTGGATGAAGTCGCCGCGATGGGAAACCTAGACTCCAACGATGCAGACATGAGCTTTGATGCTCTCTATGACCTTCAGGGAAATGATATGGATCTCAATGACTTGGATTTGGACATGTTCTGAATGACCCTCAGCTGCAGACATGTGAAACTTGAGTTTCTATCTTGCTGTTACGGCTGAAATGTGGAGACATCTGATCTCTTCAAGATGCAATTGGCCACGGGCTTGGCGCAAGGAGCAAATGTGGGAAGAAAATTTGTATTGAACCGTTCTACACAGTCCAGCATGTTTGAGCATCGACTTTTATTCCCAGTTCAAGGCTGAGAAGATCCATTTTTCAGTATACACTAAACTCCGCCCGAACGCGCTGCAGAGCTAAAAACATGGCCTCTCTCTGCCCTGGCCCAAGGCATCTCAAAGTGATCAGATAAGACAAAGGTGCTTGCACTTGTAACGCGCTGGGGATGTCAATGCCGCGCTGCTCAGTAGACGCCCCGTCACTGACCACTGCAGTCGGGGTATTACGGGCCAGGCCGTTTCTGTCCACGTCTCCAAAGGCAAAAGCCAGGGTGCCAAGAAAGTCGCCGACTGTCTCCTGTATCACCTTGGTGTGGGTGGTGACCAATTCAGAGATGTCTTCCGCCAAATTTCCATCGTCGTAACGTGGATGGTTGCTCCCAAGACTACCGATGGCGTTGAGTAGAGCTGCGTGCAGACAGATCTTTGCGACAAAATACCGGTTCCAATGGAAGAAAGCCTCCCATGACCCGAAGCAGTGCAGCCTGAAGAGAGTTCCCGTTGTCCACGGTGTGCGAGGAAGGTATCGATGCGGTGTGTCGATCAACACCTTTCGAGGAAGCCAGTCGAAAATGTCGCACCATCCGCTGACCTTGTCCTCGAGTCTGGCTGCAGCTCTCAAGTAGGAGCTCACAGTCTGGAATTTATTGACAGACGCATTCTGTGGCATCAGCAGGAAATTCTTGATACGGGCTCGCAGTTTGGAGACACCGTGGAAAAAGCTCCTCAGTCTCAAGGATGCCGTTGGAATCGTGGAAGTGGCCTTGGGTAATTGTGATTCCAGCATCAGATATTCTGGTGACGGCTCCTCGCTGGCGAACAGAGGCTTCCAATGCTGAAACAAGTCAGCGCTCAGCATCCCCAAGCTCTTTCCAGGCGCCCATACCATGGCCGAAAGAAGAGTGTGATATAGGTGACGACCCTCGGGGCGGCTAAACTGTTCATCACCGCGTAAACGCAGAAGCATTAGAGTCCCGTCGACGTGCGTTTGATGGGCCGAGCCTCCGTGTGGTCCATTGACACTAGCCAGAAGCTGCTCAATGTTAGAAAGATCGACAAGGGGGATGGGCTGAGCAACCCTACCTCTCTGATGCCGAGCAACCAAACTGCGACCAGAGTCTCGTCCTTTAAACATTGTTCAGGATCTGCTAGGGCAGCAGTCACGCTAGATACTGCCCGCGCATACTCGGCTTCGATGATAGAGTGCATGTCGACAGTCGGTGATCGGTTAGCCAGATTGGTTGCAGCAACTGATCGCATGGCCGCATATAGATAAGAATCTCGCCCTGAGCTGGAGAGTATTTTGGGCAGGAACGTGAATGCATGGTTCCCATATAGCACCCGAGAGTTGGCATCAAGTTGTGTGAGGGAGTAACAAACTGCCTGTTCAGTCACATCGCCGGACAGACTGTTCACGGGGCGTAGTCTCTGAGTTGCGCGAGAAAATGAGTGGATGATCGAGTCGCTGTTCGCAGAATCGCTGTCGTCGCCCTCGGTCGAAGTGGAGCTGGCACGATAAAGCGCTATTTGTGTGAGGTTCTCGGATGACGACGATTTCGGGCTTGGGCTGTCTCCTGGTTTGGAGGATACAAAGACAGCGGTTCGAATAAAGCCATAGCCTGGTTCTCGATATCCGGGACAGGGTTTCTTAAGCCGGGCACAGTTGCGGCATCCGGGGCGTCCTTCGTCGCACTAGAACGATCATCAGTCAGCACAAGGAATGTTTTTCCAGAAACCCGGGACGCGGCGTGGCCGACCTTGACCCTCCGTTTGCGACACAGAAAACACCCTGTGCTTGGACGACCAATGTTGCCCATCCGGAATGGCGGGAGGGAGAACCCGTGAATGAGAGGATGATTTGGGGAATGTGGGCTGCGAGGTTGGTTTTACGATGCGAGATGCATGTTCCACTACCAGGTTGGTGCTTGCTATCACAGAGTCGAGGAGGCCACTGATTGTTCTGATTGTTTCGAATTGACTGCTTGTTCAGCGGTGTCCTTTGGATATTTAACTTGATCGCGCTTGGGTGGGTTGGGTCATTGACTCGAAATCCCGTGCACTTAGATAAGTCTTGACCGTGCCAAACTTGTTCTCAGTCAGGGGAACAGCTGTCTGGAATGTTGCGTCGCATCTTTCTCCGTGGGCCAGGCTGTGAGATGGGGGCGCAAGCAGGCGACTTTGTCAGGGCTGTTGTAACCACAATGCAGTGCCTGAGCCTTGGGCGCTTCGAACATGAGGATGGAGAGTTTTCTCTAGGATATTGGAGAGCCTCGTCGCATGCCGCTTCAGCAGTGATAACGGCCGTATGCACGTCGCATGGCTAGCCGGAGCTGGATTAGCAAAAACTGGAGAACGGCCAATACCTGTGGTGAGGTCCCTGAGAAGCGCTCGACTGGCGCTCGACTGCCACGTGTGGGCGAGGGATGTTATTTTGGACCCTGCTTGAAGCGAGGGCATGCCAGTGGTTGTGATGGTGAGAGAAAAAGCTTACTCTGTCCATGGATGCCATGGTCGAAGGATGGTAGCAGCACCAGCTGATGAAATGATGCAACAACAAGGGTAACGGCAAGCGAACCTGTCACAGTCTCTGCTGGATTTTCTCGCTTCAATTGTTTGCCCAGAATTGGCACCGGCATGGTCAGTGCTTAGCCCCTTTCGTCTCCCTCGAACTGCCTCTTTCTGTTGAGGGTACCACCACAGTAGCTCATTTGGGGGTCTCTCTCTGGTTACCGAGTCTCTCTCTCTCTCCCCCTCTCGCGTGTCCCATGCAGATCGAGTCAGTGCTCTCGCACACCTCTCCCTCTCCCTCCTCTCTCCTCTCTGTCCCGTCTTGCGATCGCCCCGCAATTTAGCCCAAATATCCGGAGAAGCTTGGTCAAGTTGGTTACTCATGACGCACCGCCTGGTGTCGCTCTTCTACTGGATCGCCACCTTGTTGTTTCTGTTTTTGGCCCTCTGGTCCCGCGTATCCTTACCAGCTTTGTCACATGGATCCCCATGGGTTTCGGCTCAGCTGAACCGCAGCCGACTCTCCAAAATTTTCTCTTCTCGGACATGGTGGCATGATGGTGTTTCCTCTCCATCACAGACCTGATGTTGCAATTTCTATGATGTGTATGGAGGAGGAAGAGAAAGAAAAAATTTCTGTTTCAGCCCAGCTAAAGCGTTGGTCGAATAACGACCTGTGGTTTCAACTTTCCCGAGGAAGCTTTCCCATGCGTCCTGACACAGCCTTGATGTTACTACAGAGATTCATGCATCAGAGTGGCATCTTCTCTTATCGACCCGACCGGTTAAATTGAAGGTGCTTGAGAATGACAGATTACCGGAGTTGAAGCAACGCATATTCGGTGGAATGCCCTACCTACCGTATGCTTCCTCCACGCCGTCTAAAGAATCTGCGCCACAACTCGTCAGCCTCAACACGAAGAACTTTTGCATTGACTGAGTCATTGACGAACCATTGTCCGCCGTGATGCTGCTGAGAATGTGAGACCGACTAATTAGGATAGTCCAGGCTCAATTGCGAAAGAGGCTATTAGAGAGGAGAGAGGCTCACTCAGTCAAGACATCAGTTGTCACTTTGAATGGCCGCTACCAGCGCCGAATTTAGGTCCAGCGCCAATCCCACAGATCAATTCGACCTGGAGTCACCCTTGGTTCTTGATGTCTCATTTTCGTCATTCCACTCAAAAAAACGGTGGAAAGCATTGCCACAGCTGGACTCGATCGAGTGACCGCTTCTACGTCAATCCGTGTCAACGGCATTCGAATCACAAGAACTTAGGTTTGTGGCTCTGTTGGAGTCTCTTCGTCCTCGCCACTTTGAATTTGAACCTTACAGATGCTATTACTTTCGATGGCCACCGGGTCAAAAGACAGCAGCCGAACGGACGCAAAACCTATTACATCTATGTATGGGTTAATCTTACCCCGCCACGCTACGGCCTTGCCTACGCTCAAAATCGAGCACTATTTCTCACGTCCAAAGACATGTTGTGTTTGAAGAAGGACCAAGATGAAATGCTCATAGGAAAAGTCTATTCGAGCGGCGACCGGTGTCTATTCACAGCGAGTGGAAAACAAAGAATGTAACGTCCAAGTAAGTGACTTTTGAGCCCTGGGTCGCCTCAGAGCTGGATTCCCCACATTTTCTGCCGTTATGAAATGAAATGAGAGGTAGAAAGACGCACAAATATTTGACCAGCTGCTTGTGTCTCTGACAACGTATAAAAACCCATACCGCGAGCACGGCACTTCACCCTCGATAGACAGGGCTCCTCCGGGTCGTCACGGCATTGATATCTTCATTGGCATCTAACGACCTCTCTTCTGAAGCATGTTTGGCCATCGTCAGCTTCCGTATTGGAGATCCTCTATCCAGGCAGCAATCTGATTCAACATGGACAGATTTGTACTGGGTATTTGCCCCTCTGCTTCTTCAACCATGCGGGATTTCTTTCTGGATATTGTGCTTTAAAGCTAATCCTAGCGAGCCGTATTCGTGCTGTTTTCCCCCGCTCTGTTCCGGGCAGCTCTCTGGAACAGTACTCGGGCGTTCTCAACCTTTTTGCTGTCGACAAATTCGAGTATGTGCTGGATTCTGTCGCCCGTCTGATTGAAGGTGAAGACAAAAATATATTCTCCCTCATAGCTCCAGTCAACCGTCGAGTCTTTATCCTTTGCTTGCTCGCGGAACGTTGTTTCACTTGTTGCCCAAACGGTGACGAGGTTACCTCCTTCATAAATCTTCTTGGGGGTGACAGGAATTGCTAAAATGAATTCCTTCAGAGACAAGAGGTGTGCTCCGAAGTCATGGTTTGACATGTTCGGACGGACCCCTAATGTTGCAGGAGCGATGGTATGGACGCAATCTGCCGTTCTGAGAGCAAGATTTGCCTCGAGGTCGAGGTCCTTGAACGTGTCCAAGAATGCAATGGCAATGCTGCGTTGAATGGAAGTCATATTGACTCAGATGATGACTGTCAAAGTCTACGGCACAGATCCTCTGGACATCGGGTTTACAAGGAAGTGCTGGGTGTATATATGAGGAGTTCCCTAACTCCGCTTCCGACCTAACTCCGGCCTTTCACTTTGCACGTGTTGCTACTGCGATATGGAGAGAACAAAATCCTGCGGCAGAGGAGGGAAGATATATAGTGTTTGGGACTTTACGATTCAGCATGCCTCTAACTGCTGTATGGGATAATGGAACAAGCAAAGAATTGTGCTGCTACAACACGAACTGCGTGCCGACGGTCGACGGGGCTAGCCTCCCAGGCATTACCCTTTCTATTTCATACTTGACTCTCCACCCGGAGCAGTGTCCCGGCATCAGGACGCTAGGGTTCAAAGCCTTCAAGTCTGCAACTGTGTCCTTGATGTATGCTTCGTTTGGTCCGACAAGATGATATCCACCAACGACGGCAAATAGTGGAAGGGCACCGCCAGCCAGCTGCACAGCATTTTTGGCAACATTCACCACTCCTGCGTGGCTACATCCAGTGAAAACCACAATTCCCTTTCCTAGGGTTGTGTCAGCGTCGACCCGGAAGAGCAGGAGGACTCGTTACCTTTCACATTACACATCAGGAACCTTTCATCCAAAATCAGCTCGTCGCTTTCCCAACGAGAGCTCTCTGAATTGAACCTCATGCCACGCTGAAAGCCTTTTTCATACGAGGTCACTCGAGGAATCTCCCCGGAGACAAGAAACATATCTTCGAGGATCGTGTGCGATTGATTATTCTGTTCGATCGTAGCTCCAGCAGACTCGATTTCTTCGAACGTGGGATCCCTCTCCAGCGAGACTGGACCAGCCGGGCCCAAGAAGCCTCGATATGTTGGTCGATCTGGATGGAGGTCCACCGGAATGCCGCGGCTGCCTTTTGCATCATTTATCATGGAAATTGCTTTCAAAATGCCTCCGGAGTGGTCACGGTGCCAGTGAGACAAATGTATCCTATCGACCGAACGGAGATTTGCTCTCAACCTCTTCGCATTGAGTTCCCAGATGTGCTCTTCTGGGGCTGTATCAAACAGGACCGTATGCCGCTTGTGCCCTTTGACGGCAGTCTAGACCACGCGTCAGTACCGAATTTTGATCAGCAGCTAGTAGGAACCTCTGGTAGTCACACCCAGTCTGCTTACAATCATTAATGACAAGCCATGGGCCCCGCAGCAGATATTGTCCATGCGGATCTCGAAATTTGAACCTCCCCTAGTTCCATCCTGAATCGGGGCTCTCAAAGCAACATCTGACAGTTGTCCCGAGACCTTCAATTCTGGGTGCTTGTATGAGGATATTGGATCGACTTCGTTGTCGACGATGACTAAGATTTCAAGCGAGTCGATTTCGACGAGTGAAGCCATGATCACCAATCGACTTGAGAGACAGCTGCGACAAAGCAAGGAACCATCAGAAATAACGATGCAGCTTCCGAGAGACTGTTACGCCAAGTGGCAACAACACGAACTACACGAATCTGGCGAAGCTGCTTGGCATGGGCCGACCACAGTCTCGCCGATCAAAGATAGACTGCTACGATTGGTAGACAAGACGGATCTGAGAGGCGTCCCGCCAAGTGGTGAGACACACTTGGATGTATTCGCAAGCTGCGGTTTTCAGGCGACCAGCCCAGTGATGCCTGAGGATTGACAATATGACATGGACAGTTGCTATGATCGATAATCAATGTCCCTTCTTTATACCCAGGCCTGCCCACCTCAATGAGTCTCTTCTGTCAGGGCTAAAGAAAGATAGACATGGCCGATCCAAAGCTTGCCAGTCTACTGGCCTTCGTGTCCCCTTCTGATATCGTGACGCCCGAATCGTCTCTTTATGAAGAGCAGTCAAAAACATGGGCTGTGCAGGCCAACAAGCACCCTCTAGCTGTTGTCTCTCCTAGGACGGTGGAAGCATTGAGCAGGATGATTGCATATGCAAATACCACGGACCTCGACATTGGCATCCGCTGCACTGGAATCGGGAACGCGACGAGCAAAGACGTGTTAATTTCACTATCAGCCTTCAAGGCGTTCTCATTCGACTCTGACAAAGAAACCATTACTTTTGGTGCAGGTCACTGCTGGGGCGAGATTGACGCGAAGCTCGAAGAAACTGCTCCGGGATACGCAGCCGTCAGTGCTCGGTGTACCTATGTTGGCGTTGGTGGATCAATTCTCCACGGCGGACAGAGCTGGCTGAGTTCAGAGTACGGCCTCGCTTGCGATCCTCAAAATCTGCTTGACGTTCAGGTCATCAAAGTGGATGGCAGCATCCTCTGGGCAAGTGGGGAACCAGACCTTCTTTGGGCTCTTCGCGGCGGCGGCGGAGGATTTGGAGTCGCCATCGCCTTCAAGATGCGAGTTTACAAGTATCCATCTTCAATCTTCTGTGGACAGATCATCTATCCACCGGCGGCTCTGAAGGATGTGGCGCGCGAAACTGCTGCTTTTGCTTCACGATGTGATGATGTAAAGATGGCTCTACATTTGTATTGCCTTGACATAACAGCAGGCACGTATGCGGGGCGGGAGGCAAACCCTGGACTGGCAATTTTTGCATACGACGCCAACGGACCCGAGCATGGTAGAAGTGGAGCGGGTTTCAAATGGGCCTTGGACATCCCGGGAGCCGTCGACCTCACCAAGACCCTCAACTTCCGAGGAGTGAACCAACAATTTGGTAGGGACAACCGAAACTCGTGAGAGTCGACAAGTCTCCTAGCTAACCTGGGGTAGATGCGTCGAAAGCCCCATTCGGGAAGATTAATACCTGGGCGGCCGGCGTCACTGTTCCCTCTGTCGATGAGGGTTTGATACTCCGAGCTTGGAATTGGTATTTGTCACTCTTGGAGGCTGATCCAAGACTGGTTATGGGCACTTATGTACTCACGGAAGTCATGCAAAAGGTAAGAATTACTCCAAGGGTTTCTTCCAAGATGCGTTCGTTAACTCCCAAGGCTGTCTATCAATCCGTTGGCTTCCCCAGCCTCGTCTCCGCCTGGCCTCATACAGCAAACCAACACAATCTTCAATTAGGCACGGGTGTCATTCCAGGCTCACCCGAAAGCGACGCTTTGGCACACAAAGCGTTAGCAGAAGCACCATTTGAGATACGTCCAGGTCATACGGAGGCCGACTATTTCCCTAACTTCCTAGAAGATTTTGTTGACCCGACGAAGGTATGGAGATTTATCGTTGAAGCCGTCAACACGTACTGACGCCCACCACCACTAGGTCTTTGGAGCCAACTGGAGTAAACTGGTGGAAATCAAGAAGAAGTATGATCCAAATAACAAGCTGGGCGGACCATTTATCGAGGAGTAATCCTCCTCTGACGATATTATGCAACTCTTGACTTGTAATTTTGACGCTGTGCCCAGGTGTTTTACTGCATAGAGAGTAGCCTAGATCAACCCTCATCCATCACTGGATTGATGGAAGATCTTGTTCAAAAGTATAAGACCATGCCGCAGTGAGGCCTTTCCCGGGGCCCTGACAACGCACACATCCCCCATCCCACCTCGTTGCGTCAATGTTTTGTCTACATCTGTTCTCGAGTCAAATAGCGATTCGATTCCGGTTGCTATTGAGCAGCACGGGTCAGCGGAGTGCCAGCGATCAGGTCGTTCGCGGAAGCCAGACAACAGTGCAAGAGGGCTCTATTTTCCTTTGTATGTCCCGTTTGCAGTCAGCTCTCGTCTCAAGCTCTTGTTGAACCCTTTTGTGTTCGTCTTTTCAAGATTTCCTGACGTAGGTAGCCATGAATCCGTACCCAGTCCGGGCCAGGGCAGAGGTTCTCGACAGATTATTCGCCAGACTCGACTCGGTTGCCTGACCCTAGCGCAATCATGTCTCTGAGTTTGAGACGGACCGAGAGTGAGGAAGTACTTGTTGGATAAATTGCATTCCGGGTATCTCTGGGCGACCCGGAGCTCGATACTCGAAACCCACAAATCCATCGTGGCATTCGATACATCATTCCTCTATTTCAGCTCGAACGTTTGCGGTCTCACTCTTCTCGCACTAGGGAAGGTGAAAAGTGACAAAACCGTCACTTTGGCGCTTGGACCGAGTCCACACCTAAAGAACTCACGACAGGCTCAAGCAAGCGGAGTGACACGCAACCAAAAAGAAAGAGGGACCTTGGTTGTTTACTCGACTCCATCACCCCACATTCCTTGGATCCTCGCTTTGGTGAAGGAGGAGGCATTCCGAACTTTTTCTTGTCCGTTTGCAGACAAACACACTCCCTCTCGAGCTAGCTACTAAGACCGAGTCCTGACCTGGTTTCTCAAGTTCCACCCGACCACTTCTCCATTACTATCCTCTCATCCCAAGCACATTGTTGCCCTTGTCGACAGCAGCCTCGTTCCCAGCGCAGACATCATGACTGAGCCATCTAGCGAAGACCCAAAGTTGGAGTTGACAGATGAATTACGACACGAGTTTCGAAAACTCATGGAAGACGAATGGGCTTTCTTGGACAAGAAGCACACCGGCAGAGAGAAAAGCCCATTGACGATTGCGGAGAATTCTTGGCCAAAATCCAAATACCACCTGTTCATAGACTGGAATTGGAATCCTGACGAGCCACACAGCACGGCATTCCTGAGAATTAAGATCAGTGCCCAGTTCGAGGCTTCAAGGCTGACCCCAACTGACTTTTGCGAATTAATCAAGTCCCTTGATATCTGGGACCCGAAGCAGGTTAGTGACTTGAGAACGAAAACCGACTGGGGGTGTTACCACAGGCGCCTGGGCCTGTACGGTCGTCCATGGATCCCATTCCTGCTATTCAAGTATGGACGAATGTATTTTTATATCAACGCGCATCCATATATCTCCCCTGGGTGCACTCTCGTCCCTAGGAACATACGAAAGCAGAAAGTGATTGCTTCAATGGAATCACGCTGGGTCGAGTATGACCCTCCAATCATAATCCCGCCCCATCTCCGAAGTTCAGAAGACACAGAATACAGTTCAACCTTACGTTATGGCCTGGCGATTGGAAAAATAGCAGCCTCGTTGGACGATGATGTCGACGATACCGACGAACGCAGGGCTCGAGAAGTACCATTGGACGTCTTGCTTCATCCTGCCGACAAGAGTTTTTGGATAGTCTTCCAAAGCTTCGGGTATTTGCCTGATTTTTTACAACGATACGACTCTGTGGAAGAGCAACAGCCGATAAGGAGGACATACCGTGGCACTTACTTGTGGAAATGGACTGAAGCCGACCAACCGGTCGCGGTTTGGCGCATGCCATTCTCGGATGTACAACGCATCGCACAAAGCCGCTCTTATTCTGGTGGATACATCAGTAAGGTCAATCCAGAGGTCGGCGGAGACGAGAAGGACAGCCCTAGACCCCAGGTGATCGTAGACGCCCGTGATCCTGTTTGGAACTCGTGGAACTTGCAGCGACCAATTCAATATTATGCCGAGGAAGCTGGATTAGAGAAGTATCGCGATGAACTTCTGAAGTCAGCGGTTTCAGCTCATGATGATTCGAATGATCCGCCGGCGGTTCAACCAGGACCAAGCGATTCAATGACCAACTAGGTCCACAAGGGTTCTCTTTTTTAATAGACGTGGGAGGCAAATGGAAAAGACAAGATTTAAGGTCATATGCTGGCCTGGGGAGGGTGGTAATATCTGTCCAAGGCGTGGTCATGCATCCATAAAACCCAAGCGAGCTGATAAGGTTATTTGGAGCGTATATTTGCCCCGGTTTCGGGGGGGGGGGGGG